TATGAGGAAAGAAGACTTGGAAAATTTGACACGCACAGAACATATTGAAGACAAGAGGGACAGAGGAAAACAGTGTATAAAAAGAAAAGAAAAAGAACAGGAGAAAAGAAAAGGGAAAAGTAAGATTCAGGAGGAAAGAAAAAGAGAAGAAAGAAAAGAAATAAAGAAAGAAAAAGTAAAAGGAAAAAGAAAAGAAAAGGGAGAAAAGAAAAAGAAAAGGAAATAAAGAAAGTGATGGAATAAAAATAAGAAGAAGATATGGTAGAAAAGAAAGAGAATAAAAAAGAGAAAGGAGAAAAATTGAAAAAGAAAAAAGAGAAATCGGGGAAGAAGAATAGAAGGGAGAAAAGAAAAAGAAAAAAAAAGGAAAAAAGGAGAAAAGAAAACAAAGTGATGGAAGAAAGTCAAAGAAGATATGGAAAAAGAATAGTGAAAAGAAAAGAGAGAAGAGGGAAAAGAATGAGAAAAAAGAATGAGAAAAATGAAGAAAAGAGGAAGAAAGAAGAAAAGATAAAGAACAAAACTAAGAGAAGGAAAGGGAGAAAAGAAAAAAAGGAAGAAAATAAAAAGAAGAAAAGAAGAGAAGAAAAAGAAAAGGAAGAAAAGAAAAAGAAAAAGAAGAAAAGAAAGAAATTAAAGGAAAAAAATTAAAGAAAAATGAGAAAAGGAGGAAATAAAAAGAAAAAGAAAATAAAAAGAAGAAAATGAAGAAAAGAAAAAAGAAAAAAGGAAGAAAAGAGAAAGAAGAAAATGAAGAAAAGAAAAAAGAAAAAGGAAGAAAAGAAAAAAGAAAAAAGGAAGAAAAGAAAAAAGAAAAAAGGAAGAAAAGAGAAAGAAAATGAAGAAAATAAAAAGAAAGAAAAGTGAAAGAAGAAAATGAAGAAAAGAAAAAAGGAAGAAAAGAGAAAGTAAATGAAGAAAAGAAAAAAAGAAAGAAAAGTGAAAGAAAATGAAGAAAAGAAAAAAGAAAGAAAAGAGAAAGAAAATGAAGAAAATAAAAAGGAAGAAAAGTGAAAGAAGAAAATGAAGAAAAGAAAAAAGAAAAAAGGAAGAAAAGAGAAAGAAAATGAAAATAAAAAGGAAGAAAAGTGAAAGAAGAAAAATGAAGAAAGAAAAAAAAAAAAAGGAAGAAAAGAGAAAGTAAAAAGAAGAAAAAAAAAAGAAAAAAAAAAGAAAATGAAGAAAAGAAAAAAGAAAGAAAAGAGAAAGAAAATGAAGAAAATAAAAAGGAAGAAAAGTGAAAGAAGAAAATGAAGAAAAGAAAAAAGAAAAAAGGAAGAAAAGAGAAAGAAAATGAAAATAAAAAGGAAGAAAAGTGAAAGAAGAAAATGAAGAAAAGAAAAAAGAAAAAAGGAAGAAAAGAGAAAGAAGAAAATGAAGAAATGAAAAAAGCAAAATAGGAAGAAAGGAGAAAGAAAATGAAGAAAATAAAAAAGAAAGAAAAGTGAAAGAAGAAAATGAAGGAAAGAAAAAAGAAAAAAGGAAGAAAAGAGAAAGAAAATGAAAATAAAAAGGAAGAAAAGTGAAAGAAGAAAATGAAGAAAAGAAAAAAGAAAAAAGGAAGAAAAGAGAAAGAAGAAAATGAAGAAAAGAAAAAAGAAAAAAGGAAGAAAAGAGAAAGAAAAGGAAGAAAAGAAAAAAGGAAGAAAATGTAGAAAAGAAAAAAGAAAAAAGGAAGAAAAGAGAAAGAAGAAAATGAAGAAAAGAAAAAAGAAAGAAAAGAGAAAGAAAATGAAGAAAAAAAAAAGAAAGAAAAGAAAAAGAAAAAATGAAGAAAAGAAAAGGAAGAAAAGAGAAGAAGAAAATGAAGAAAAGAAAAAGAAAAAGGAAGAAAGAGAAAAGAAGAAAAAATGAAGAAAAGAAAAAGAAAAAGGAAGAAAAGAGAAAGAAAATGAAAAAAAAAAAGGAAGAAAAGGAAAGAAGAAAATGAAGAAAAAAAAGAAAAAGAAGAAAAGAAAGAAAATGAAGAAAAGAAAAAGAAAAGAAAAGTGAAAGAAAAATGAAGAAAAAAAAGAAAGAAAAGAGAAAGAAAAAAATGAAAATAAAAGGAAGAAAAAGAAAAGAAGAAAATGAAGAAAGAAAAAAAAAAAAAAAGAAAAAAAGAAAGAAAATGGAAAAAAAAGAAAAAAGAAAAGAAGAAAATGAAGAAAAGAAAAAAAAAAAAGAAGAAAAGAAAGAAAATGAAGAAAAGAAAAAAAGAAAGAAAAGAAAAGAAAAAAAGAAAAGAAAAAAAAAAAAGAAAAAAGAAAAAGAAAAAAAAAAATAAAAGGAAGAAAAGTGAAAGAAGAAAAATGAAGAAAAGAAAAAAAAAAAAGGAAGAAAAGAGAAAGAAAATGAAAAAAAAAGGGAAGAAAAGGAAAGAAGAAAATGAAGAAAAAAAAAAAAAAGGAAGAAAGAAGAAAGAAATGAAGAAAAAAAAAAAGAAAGAAAAGTGAAAGAAGAAAATGAAGGAAAGAAAAAAGAAAAAGGAAGAAAAAGAGAAAGAAAATGAAAAAATAAAAAGGAAGAAAAGTGAAAGAAGAAAATGAAGAAAAGAAAAAAGAAAAAAGGAAGAAAAGAGAAAGAAGAAAATGAAGAAAAGAAAAAAGAAAAAAGGAAGAAAAGAGAAAGAAAATGAAGAAAAGAAAAAAGGAAGAAAAGAGAAAGAAAATGTAGAAAAGAAAAAAGAAAAAAGGAAGAAAAGAGAAAGAAGAAAATGAAGAAAAGAAAAAGAAAAAAAAAAAAATGAAGAAAAAAAAAGAAAAAGAAAAGAAAAAATGAAAAAAGAAAAAGGAAGAAAAGAAAGAAGAAAAAATGAAAAAAAAAAAAAAAAAAGAAGAAAAGAGAAAGAAGAAAATGTAGAAAAGAAAAAAGAAAAAAGGAAGAAAAGAGAAAGAAGAAAATGAAGAAAATAAAAAAGAAAGAAAAGAGAAAGAAAATGAAGAAAAGAAAAAAGAAAGAAAAGTGAAAGAAGAAAATGAAGAAAAGAAAAAGGAAGAAAAGAGTAAGAAGAAAATGAAGAAAAGAAAAAAGAAAAAAGGAAGAAAAGAGAAAGAAAATGAAGAAAAAAAAAAAAAAAAAGGAAGAAAAGAGAAAGAAGAAAAAAGAAGAAAATGAAAAAGAAAGAATAGAAAAAGAAAAAAGAAGAAAAGAAAAAAGAAAGAAAAGTGAAAAAAGAAAAAAGAAAAGAAAAAAGGAAGAAAAGAGAAAGAAGAAAATGAAGAAAAGAAAAAGAAAAAAAAGAAGAAAAGAAGAAAATGAAGAAAAGAAAAAAAAAAAAAGGAAGAAGAGAAAGAAAAAGAAAAGAAAAAGAAAGAAAAGAAAAGAAAATGTAGAAAAGAAAAGAAAAAAAGAAGAAAAGAGAAAGAAGAAAATGAAGAAAAGAAAAACAAAGAAAAAAAAAAGAAAAAAAGAAAAGAAAAAGAAAAAGGAAAAAGAGAAAGAAAAAAAAAGAAAAAACAAAGAAAAGAGAAAAAAAAGAAAAAAAAAAAGAAAAAAGAAAAAGAAAGAAGAAAAAAATGAAGAAAAGAAAAAGCAAAAAGGAAGAAAGAGAAAGAAAAATGAAGAAAAGAAAAAGAAAGAAAAGTGAAAGAAGAAAATGAAGAAAAGAAAAAGGAAGAAACGAGTAAGAAGAAAATGAAAAGAAAAGAAAAAGGAAGAAAATGAAGAAAGAAGAAAATGAATAAAAGAAAAAACAAAAAAAAAGAAAGAAAAATGTAGAAAAGAAAAAAGAAAAAAAGGAAGAAAAGAGAAAGAAGAAAATGAAGAAAAAAAAAGCAAAAAAGGAATAAAAGAGAAAGAAAATGAAGAAAAGAAAAAAGAAAGAAAAGTGAAAGAAGAAAATGAAGAAAAGAAAAAAGAAAGAAAAGTGAAAGAAGAAAATGAAGAAAAGAAAAAAGGAAGAAAAGAGTAAGAAGAAAATGAAGAAAAGAAAAAAGAAAAAAGGAAGAAAAGAGAAAGAAGAAAATGAAGAAAAGAAAAAACAAAGAAAAGAGAAAGAAGAAAATGAAGAAAAGAAAAAAGAAAAAAGGAAAAAGGAAGAAAAGAAAAAAGAAAAAAAGGAAGAAAAGAAAAAAGAAAAAAAGGAAGAAAAGAGAAAAGAAAATGAAGAAAAGAAAAAAGAAAGAAAAGAGAAAGAAGAAAATGAAGAAAAGAAAAAACAAAGAAAAGAGAAAGAAGAAAATGAAGAAAAGAAAAAAGAAAAAAGGAAAAAGGAAGAAAAGAAAAAAGAAAAAAAGGAAGAAAAGAAAAAAGAAAAAAAGGAAGAAAAGAGAAAGAAGAAAATGAAGAAAAAAAAAAAAAAGAAAAGAGAAAGAAGAAAATGAAGAAAAGAAAAAAGAGAAACAAAAGCAAATTAATAGAAAAGGAAAACACCGCGAAGCAATTTACAAATCTGAAAGAGAAGTAAAAATTTAAAAAAAAAAAGAAAAAAAAAAAGTTCGGGGTGGGTATAAAGAAGGTTTAACTTACATCTGGGTAAAAATGTTGTGGGAACTTGGCCTTTTCTTTCACGGAGACATTCTCAATATTACCAGACTGCACCTGTAAAAGAGACAAAGAAAACCTTTTAAAAAAAATTGAATGAATTAGGGCGAAGGAAAGAGTATTTAAAGAAGAAAGGTCTTAACAAACGTCAAACAAAAGGATCAATAAACCTGTGAAATAAAAAAAAAAGAAAAAAAAGAGGACAAGTGGTGAGATGGTGGATCAGGACTAACAGGAAAATGATTTGTTCATAATGTCGGTTTCTCGTTCAAGGGGCATCATTATTTAGAGCCTTCAACAAGCCTAATTATGAACCCAGGACCCAGTGGAGAATGGTTTAGCCATTAAAGTTACAAAGAAACAGGAAGTCTAAGACAAGGAGTAATAGATGCCACACCTTCATTGCAGTCTAGAATGACAGAGAATTGGCAACGGGTGAGGGAAGGAGAGTCAGGGTAAATATCTATATCATGTGGTGTGAAGAGGATTTTACAAGCAGAAAGAAGATCAATTTGTAAGCAGGGCAAAGAAAGATG